TTTTTTCCACCCTCGCAATCTCTTGGCTGAGGGCATGGCTGGCAATCCTTTTGCAAGGTCCTTTTTCAAGGTAATGAGCAATGTCCTTTCTGCAAGGGATATGGATCCTTTTGCAAGGGGTCTCCCTGACAGATGGCTCAGCTGAGCCGCTTGTAGCCCAAATGGCTGCAGGTGCATCAAGGCATGAACACCAAACCCACACCACAAAACCAAAACCCAACACATGAACCAAGAAGAAAAACAACAACACCTCCCTAGAAAAAACAACTAGAAGAAACCAACACCAGAAAGCAGCTAGAAGCAGCAGCAGCAGCTGTTTTCCAAGATGCTAGCACTATATCCAGCTATACATGTACATATGTACAAACCTTTTTCAAGGCCTAGCTTTAACAAAACCCTTTCTCAAGGTCTTGGTGCAGAACCCTTTCCCAAGGGTATCCTTTTAGGTCACACCCTTTGCCAAGGGCTGCTTCCAGCCTTTTGCAAGGAACACCTTTTGCAAGGGTTGATTTATGCCCTTTACCAAGGACTGCTTCGATCCTTTTGCAAGGAACACCTTTTGCAAGGATTGATTTGTGCCCTTTATCAAGGGCTGCTTCCATCCTTTTGCAAGGAACACCTTTTGCAAGGATTGATTCATGCCCTTTATCAAGGGCTGCTTCCTTTTGCAAGGGTTCATGCCCTTTGGCAAGGGCTGCACCCTTTTGCAAGGGTGAGCAAGCTCTTCACCCTTTGGCAAGGGTGTTTGGCAACAGCATCTCAAGGGTAGGCTGCCACTAGCTCCTCTCTCATCTTCAAGGCCTCTGCTTTGCTGAGGCTGTCCTTTTCCAAGGCTTTCATGATTTTGTTGCAAATCAAGTCATGCTGAGAGCTCCAAGTGGCTGGAACCTCCACAATAAGCTTCCTTGGGTGGCCACTCCCTGGTGCCAAGACACCTGTGATATATGTTCTCTCGGGCTTCTTGGCATTTGTCTTTCTCAAGGCATACCAGGAGCCCTCACTCCCTTTCTCAAGGGGCCTCTTTTGCCCTTTTGCAAGGGCCTTTGCAGAAGCTTCCCCTTTTCCAAGGGCCTTTGTAGAGGCTTTGCCATCCCTTTTCCCTTTTGCAAGGGCCTTTGCAGAGGCCTTCTTGCCCTTGCCTTTCCCTTTTGCAAGGGCCTTGGCAGCAGCTTTGTCACCCTTCCCTTTTCCAAGGGCCTTTGCAGAGGCATTGTTGCTCTTGCCTTTCCCTTTTGCAAGGGTTTTGGCAGGGACCTTCCCTTTTGCAAGGGCTGCTGCTGGCTCAGTGGTACCATATCCCAATGCCTTTTGCAAGGCCTGAGAGCTATGTCCATGGACCATGGTGCCTTCCCTTCTGTTGATGAAGGGTTTTGGTCTGGAGGACGAGCTGCCTGCCTTGTCTGGTGTGCAAAAGATCAGAGGCACACCATGAGAATCCACAGAAATCTCATCAGCAGCTTTTCCCTTTTGCAAGGGCAGCTTTGCAGCAATTTCCTTTTTCAAGGAAGCTTCCTCACCCTTTTCCAAGGGCTCCTCCTCCTCTGGCAAGGTCACCATGCCAATGGCTTCCTGTAGGGAAGTGTAGGATGAGCCACTGAGCTTTGCAGCGCAAATTCTCATTTGGTCATTGTCCCTCTTCAACCGCCTCACATGAGCAAACAGGGTGGTCAGCCTCTCAGCCTTCAGGCTGCTCCATGTGCTGCCATTGAACTTGCTCTTGTTCACCTCTGGCATAGAGGTGAGCAAGCTCAAAAGAGCTTGCCTCAGAGGAGCTGATGGAACCTCTGCTCTGGGGCACACACCCAACAACCCTTTCACAAGGGGTAGGCACCTGACCAATCCAGCAGGGTCCACAGCACCTTGCTTGTTCCTGCTCTCATAGGATCCCAGATCAGCCAGCAAGTCCCCATGGTTGCCCATCACTTGCAGCAGCAAGGATGGGTCTATGTAAGCCTTGGCTTTGTGCCTGGCCCCACCTCTGGTCATTCTTGGTTCCCTATACTTGTTCACACTCTCACAGCCAAAACTGCAAACTGAAAAGGGGTGTCCAAAATCAATATCCAAATCAAAATCAAAATCAATATTTTCATCATATTTTGGAAGGAAAAGGGCACATCAAAATCAACAGAAAACACCTAAACCAAATCAATAGAAAATATTGATTTTGATATTGATATTCAAGGCAAATCAATATCAATATTTTTTCATAGGAAACTATTGATTGGAATCAACATCGGATGCTCAGGGGATGTTTGCCAAAGCCCTTGGGCCCTTGGTCCTCCCTTTGCCTCCCGATTCCGGTTCCGTTCCGAAATCCTCCGTCGGGCTCGATGTAACGATGAAGCAGGATGTGGTCTCTGGGTCGCTCTTGTTCTTTCTCGTCTTCCCAAGTGTCCTGAAACAGAGTGCCCTCATCGTCGCATCTTATCTTCTTTCGTCTGCGACATTCAGTGGCTCGTATGGTGGAAGTCTTCCCAGCCTGAAGTTCCGTGAAGTTGTTCGACCGGAGCAATTTTCAAGGATGCAACCAGCTGATCGTATTCAAGCTTTCCAGCGGGGTCCATGATGATCTTCTTCTGGAGTCCTGAGTTGCGAAGCAAACTATAAGCTCTCATCTTTTCCAACGTCACTCCGAGGGACGCCAACTCTTCAAGTTGGAAGTGATGTCTTGCTATAGAGCGGACTCACACTCAAAATGCTCGAATTCCTCTTCATGCTCTGCTTTGTCAACAGTCAAAAACTTCACTCACCGTAGAAACCAACAGATTGATGCCCTCAAGACTGTTCACCTTCAATTTTCCGGCGTCAATCCTCATCAGTCGCTTGAAGGCACCCCCGTCGCACATCATACCAGCTCTGGGAGCCAAATGAGACAAATTCTCTGTTGGCCATAGGCCTGCGGCCTGCCAAAAATTCCAGTCTCTTGGTGTACTCATTGATGTCGGGCTTGAAAGCAGGGATCATCCCCCGAGGAAGATGGGACAAGGAGCCGTGTGGAGCTCTCACCCTCAAGCATCCTGGATCAACGGCTTCCGAACAGCTCACAACACTGTAACAACCGACGCAATCCCACGCAATGTACAGCGCACAACCAACACAATGTACAACACACACGCGGGTGTCCAATCTCACTCACGCTATTCGACCATAGCTAGCTCCGCTACCAATGTGGACTGGGCAAGATTCCACGAAGGTAGCCACCGGACCCTTCCCAAGAACCACGCCCCTGGCGCTCGCGCAACCTTGTTTGTCTCCAAGTGCTCTCCTGGTGTCCTCACCAGTCTCCGTCCATGTCGCGCGCCCCTGCACACCCAAACCTGCTGACTTAGAGGTTGAAAGGATGCGGTCAGGCATCGACATTCCAAAGTGCATGGACTCTGAGTTTCAACGTTTAGGTTTCACTATATATATATATTACTATATTATATAATACATGTGTGTTTGCGCGTGCGCGTGCGTCGCTTTCATGAGATACAGATTTTCGACGGGCCTTTTCCGTCGTACCGGCAGCATTCCGAAGGGTCACGTCAACGTGCATGTCAGAGGCTGCCAAACAAGTTTTCTGCCTTGTGAAAATGACTATATACACACTAATCTATGATACTCACATATACCGATAGGTGTATTTCTATACATGTATAAACTGAATGGCTAAGGCATCAAAGTCCCAAAACTTCCTCGTGAACTCGCACTGACAGCTGGAAAAAAAACCTCCAGAAATGCAAGCCCTAAACTCTGTCCTGTTGCAACAAACCCGTAACGCCAAGGAATATTCTTCCTGGCCAAACGTCCGTCTCTTTGCCAATTTCCCAATGGCCTTTTTGATTGCGGCGCAAGCATGCCGCCAATACCAGACCGGGCGTTGGACCGCTCTGTTGCATCCGTTTCAAAATCGCCAGCACCTACAGGAAGTCTATATATTTAAAGTGTCAATGTTTGTTGAGGCCCTGCTAATACCAAGCACCCTATCTTGCTTTGCTTCCACATCGACAAACCCTGAGATGGCAATGCCTCCTTCCAGCGACCAGCGTGTTCTAGCACTTTCAATGTAGCCTTTGGCTAGCCGACAGCCCAAAAACAACGAGCAAAACAATGGTGGAAAAGCGGGGGGACAAGGCCTTGTGAGAGGCCGTTCCCTGTTCCATCCGATCAGCTTGAATATCGTCCAAAAACGATAGCGCGTGTCTCCAAGCACCTCATGTTGCACAGGTCCATGGGCCATCGGCATGGCATCTTGAGGTGTGGCTTGTTTCTTTCCATCAACAGTCTCGTTTCAATAATCTTTTGTAAACTAAGGCAAAAGCTTTTCCCACATGATCTGATTGCCGCCACATACACAGGCGCATTGCGAGGGATGCCTGATGTTGTACAAATGCGTTTGTAGCATGATATTCGCAAACTGCGAGGCCTTGCTCACGCATGTCTTCCAATGTAGCCAACGCTACTTCCCAAAGTTTCCGAAAACCTCATGCCAACAAACGTCCAACATCCTAGGTCCTATGCTATTTTTTGCAAACAAGAAATCAGAAATCAGGATCCTGCAACAAGCTTCTTCGATCGTTTTTGCGTACCTGGAGCGTCAATCTTGCTAAGCCCCCTTTTGCAATGGTCAGGGGTGCCCATGGTTTGGGGCGCTCGGAAGCAACCATTTTTTGCCCCAAACAAAGGCCAGCAGCCGCATCTGCCCATTCTTCCCTGAGGCTCACCAAAAACACGCTCTCCTGGTTTCAGCTGTCTGCTTTCTGCTCAAGTGGCACCTACTTCTTGACCTCCTCAAGATTTGCAAAAGCTGCGCCTGAACAGGGATGAACGCACTACAAAAGAAAAAACAAAAACAATGAAAAAAAACACATTGCTAAACCAAGCCTTACCCTGCAAAATCTCAGAATTTTCACTAGCTCCCCGCGAAGTCCAAGCGGTCCTGCCATGGACCTTGAGTCGGCTGGGCCGGAGTGGACCTTCAACCTTTCAATCCATTCCTGCCACGTGCGCCTGGCCCAGATCCCACAACATTGCTTGTCACTAAAACGACATGGTTGCAAAACCTTGTCGATTGTCTTCGATATCATCCGAATTTGTTTTTGTAGTGTGCCTTATCAGTGCAACAGAAACTGGAAGCACGTTTCCACTGCGTGTTTGGTGGAATTTTGACACAAAAAACGCAAACAATGATTGAGCATTTCCTGCGCGGTGGAAAAATCCGTTCCCACAACGGACCACGACAACATGAGCAAATGAGCACTTCAAGAGCAAACGCGGCATCGTTTTGCAACTCGGGGCTGCTCAAGAAATTGACGCCGTAGAGCCTAGCTCTGCGGCTTCGAGAGTTTTCATCCTGCGCCGCGCGCAAATCCACAAATGAAGTTCTCTAGCGTATGGGGGAGGGAACATGGTGCACAGCCCTGGTATAGTGCGAGGGCCTTGCCAACGCAACAGTGAACGCTGAGCACAACAAACATGCTTAGACCGGTTGAGTTTGAAGAGTTACTAAAGAGTAAAAAGGTTTAAGTCCTAAGGAGCAGCCCCTTTTCCCTTCCAGGCACAACGAGCATGTCAATTTTTACATCTATAGATACGATCTATATCCACATGTGTGGTTTATCTATGCGCTAGTCACCTTTGCATGTCCCTTTGAATGAGTCAAGCCGTTCCCGTGTCTCGTCCCTCGTCTCCATCCATTCAAGTTGCATATATTGTTTCAAACAGGCAACAGCCAATAAGACACACCTTTTTGTTCTTGAGCCAAAGCACACGGTACAGTAGGTATCTGTGCATGCACTAGCGGTGAAAAATAACTCCCGCGGCGCGGCCCGGTCACGGGCGGCACCGAAGAGGCAGAACATCAGCCCAAGATGACCTCAGAGCGGGCTGACAAAGCTATGCACAGTGTGGATCAAGGCTCGGATCCTTTCACGCTCGAAGCGGACGGCTGCAAAAGCAAAATGAATGAAATGGCTAAGGTTTCCCGTTTCCGATCGCGCAGGGGAATACGATAATCGCAGCGCTAGTGGTTGCTTCTTGGCCCAACACGTATCACCCACTCATTGCATTTAGCAAGAAGCAGACGCCAGTCTCCATGTCCAGTACCTTGTGTCTGCAAATGTATCGCTGCGTTGCCTTCCTCCGGCTATGGCTTCACCTGACCTCCAGAACGCGGGGGGTTTTCAAACGGCCCGAAGCTCGAGAATATGACCTAAGTAGGCGTATGCGCTGCAGTGACAAGCAATTTCCCATTCCAATCGGAAGACTAGGACTGGCGCGCGACACCCACCATCATGTCACGTAAGAGGAAACCTTTCGACCTGATTCAGGACAACTGCATGGAGGACACGGGGAGTATCCCATGAAGCAACAATGGACGGGAAGGACGATGTTCAGGGTTCTAAGAGCAGCGGGGCCGGTTCACCCCCCCAAGTTCAAACGACAGAGGACGGCTCCAAGAATTGGGGCTCGATCATCCGCCACCTCAAGGATGAAATCGCCAACCTTCAGGAATTCGAAGCCCTTTGTCTGTATCAAGGACAACGACGATCATCGCTTCAAGCTCATGTGTCTTCCTGGTGGCCCGGAAGGATCTACCTGACTGGAAAGGTATGCCGTGGAAGCCGACAGCAGTGGAGGCGGTCGAGGGGCATAAAGGCTGGGTGATTGAGCGGATCGGCGACCGCGCCGTCTGCCAGGAGATTTTATACTCCTTGGGTGATGAGTTTGACGTCGAGAAACTCGACCGCGGTTACAACAGCGACCCCGAGACCTCGCGCACGTGCGCGAACTTCCCGCGCATCATCTACCATTCGACAGACCCGCGAGGGCTCAGCGACATCATCAATGAATGGTCTCGTCGTTGGAGGTTTTCCTCGAAAGACCGGAAGCTGGGGGTACAACTACTTTACTGTGACCCCTCTGTGGATCTGCAACATGCGAAATTGCTCGCGGGAACGCGAGCCGGACAACCCATCTATACATCGCGTTTGACGTTGAGCTCACGATGATCCAAAAGGAGGTGTCCGCCTCTTCAGAACGGACACGGCGTTGCGGTCCCTCGATTGGGTCTTCAACAAGCGCATCATGTTCGCCTTCAATGCTCGTGAGCCAAGGTTTCGGCTGGAGCAACCCGCCCATCCCAAGTTCAGGAAAGAGACCCCCAGACGTTCGCGAGGCGGACCCGAATGATCCGACCGCTCCAGCTCATTTCCAGCTGTCCCGGCTTACTCAGATGAAGAGCTTCACGTTGGTGGACAGTTAACTGGGCTGGTCCGAAAGCACGGGTTGTCAACGGCTCGATCGTATAAGCTTGCCATGACGCTCGCCAGAAGGCGCAGGCGGAAGATCAGAAGAGCTTCAAGCTTCCGGGCTACATGTACAGCGCCTTGTGCGATCGTTCAGAATTCTGACATCGCCGGACTGCGAAAGCGCGTATCGCAATAGCAATCGAGCTTGGGCCAGAGGCAGTGATCACTGTGGCCTGCAACCCCACATTGCCGTGAATGCGATTCTTCGCATCCCCATGGTGCACATCAAAGCGCTCAACGCCGCTCTGTGGCACTGAGCGCTGGCAGGGCAGGCTTTGGTGCGACCTTTGTAAAATCTGGCCAGACGCCAGAGTCGCCACTGAAGCCGCGCGAGCGCAGGCCGAAGCCGATCTTTACGGGGCTCCCTGCGCAATTGAAAACCTCATCTGAGGAAAGCTCGGCAGACCAAGGCCGCAACGGCTGGAAACTGATCCGTTCTACGCTGTCAATTGTGCCCGACCCAACCTCACCCCAGAAGCGTTGGACTTCCTTCAGCGTCCCGGACGCAGCCTAAATCCAAAGCTGGGCCGGACGGCAGATCAGCGCAAGGGAGGGAAGAAAGGCAAGAAGGGTGGCGATGATGATTCCGACAATGAAGAGGAGGAGAGCCGCTCCACATTGCTGTGCCTCATCTTGAAGCTTTCTGGAGGAGACGATGATCCTGCGCGCGACATTGTCGAGGGGGCATTCATCGCCCGCAAACGCAGGCTTGCGACCTACGTGGACTTCGCGCTTTTCTCGAAAGGCTTTCCTCCCCCCATCATCATCACATGGAACGGGAAAACTTGCCAGCCGGAAGGCTCGGCCGAGAGCACGCTTGCCGATGTGTCATCCTTTGCCAAGCTCAACTGGCCTGACGCTGCGAATGAGTTTGGCTACAGGTTGAGCATCGTGGATTGCGCCCGCAAGAAAGTCAGCGCATTCTCTTGCAGGTCTACCGCCAATCAGAATATCAAATCGGGTTTCTTAAGCAAAGGGCAAGGGGAAGGCGCCGCCCTCAGGATGTTTCGGGATTGTCTTCAATACCGCCAAGAGCGCCTGCGCCGCTTAAAAGCAAAGGCTCAGGGCAAGAGCGCTGGCCCACGCCCATGAGCTCCAAAAGCATGTGAGTGGCGTCCTGTGGAGCGATCCCTGCTGCTGCATCGAGCTCTGCCGTCGTGACCATCGGGCCGCCTGAACGCACTATCGCCCAGGACATCGCCTTGAAGGGCAAGGCCCGGGCCTCGAAGGGATCCGGCTAGGGCAAGATCGAGCAGCCGAAGGGCAAGGGCAAAGAGCAGCCGTCGACCGTGGATGAATGCTGGCCGTGCTTGGTTGCTTTTCCTCGCTGGCATCTCAGATGTTCAGGAATCTGTGTTTGTAGCTCTAACGGGAACGTTAGCCGTCTCCCAATTCATTTGTCGGCTTTCATGTCCTGTACGCAAACCGGAAGGTTTGTGGCACCATGCACCATGTTTGGAGTGGTAATGCTCCCGGTGTGCTAGGTGGCAGAAATCCAGAGCCTACAGGCAGACACAGCGTCCCTGACGAAGGCGGTCAGCTTGTCATCAAGCGTGGAGTTGACATAGCATACTAGTCGGTGGAGGGCTTGTCGCAGTCGGTCGACTGCTTGGTAACTTGCGCGGCTAGTCCCTGGACTGCACGCAAGAGATCAAATCTTGCCATTCGCGCTGCAAACAATATCTTCATTAACACTCGCGCAGTCATGGGAGCAATTCTCCTCCTTCTCATCTTGCGCCGGCCGCGCGATACGTTCGTCATGTAACGGCGTAGACACATGTTCTTGTCGCCAGCTGGTTGAACGTAACGATCAACACAGGACTGCAAGAAGGGCTTCATGTCGTACGTGACACAGTTGACCGCTTTCGTCACGCTTGGTTGGGTCTTGTCCTTCAGTTGGTCAAGGTTTGAGAAACGAGCACTACGTGCTTTGTTCTTTGCTTCACCTTTGTTTCGGTTGTACTGACCATGGATATCACCCTTTGCGGTTCAGCAGTAGAAAACCAATACGTAGTTCCTGTCCACAACAATGGGTTTCTTCCACGGCATGGCGTGCGTGCGAATCTCTTCGTCAATACCTTCCGGCGCGCATGGCTCAATGATAGTCCTGCGCTCACCGGACAACTTGATGTCTGTGACAGTTTCAGGCTCAGGCCAATAACTGTTCTTCCGAGGCTGAACGTGATGCTTGACATAATATCCTTGCCCAGGCGCAAAGTCCCAATAGTCCTGCGCGAGGTGCTGCGCGGCTGCGGCCGCCAGGGCGCAGGATCCGGCAACGACTCGTCCAGCACACGTGCGAAGGGATGATCATGATGAGTTTGACCCCAGTGGCAAACACATGATCACATCCGAGGTATCGGCCGTACCGGGTTTGTCCACGTCAATCCTGCAGGGGCCGATGAGTTCCCATTCGCTTCATTGGTTCTTTCGGTCCGGATTTTTTAAAGTCATCCACGTATACAACTAGCCAACAAACATCGTGAAAGAACACTGACGGCCATCCTTCCGGGTCTGGCGTGAGGAACCCCACCTCAACCAACATGCGTTCACAGTGGATTTCCAACGGGCATCCATACAATGCAATGCGAAGTCAGCACGCCCTACCCATTCCTTCGGCCATCGATCTTTGGGGAGTTCGACCCAGGCGTCGGCCCCTTGCGTGAGTGCTTGGGTGTACGCTGCTTTCCGTCGGCCTGCTCGGCAGTGCACCCAGGCTGGGAGCCGTAGGCATAGCTATACCTTGCCTGCCTCTGCGTGGTCGCCGGAGAAGACCCTAGTTCGGAAAGCAATGCC